CGACTCCGCAGGGCCTAACACTGATATTTGCTGCCTTGTGACGTCCAATGGCAACAATGAATCTGGAGGCGAAGCACCAACACAGCAGTAGACGGGCGCAATCTGATGTGCACCCGAACTGGAGAACCGAAGCCGCCGCCCCACCTTGCCTTTGCACGGAACCCACCTCGGCACTGGTATAACGCCGATGCTCCGATGAAGAACGGCACTAAACAGATTAACCTTGCGGCGTTGAAGAGATTTGAGAGCTGCATGTATTCCGAAGCTGTCACTGATGGAGGTGAATTGTAATGTGGAAATGCAACAAAGCTTTAGATATTAGAGACATGTGCGGGATGAATGAATGGGAATTGGATGGAGTAACGAGGTTTGCTTATGCATGAGAAAAGATGAACAATATAATTATATGAATATTATAGAGATGAATGATATATTTCGCGGTTGTGATATATGAAAGGAAGAGCAAATTAATCTTGAGCGTTTAATCAGCTAAGGGTAGATAGGAGAGAGCACGCTTAAGCTTGTACAGCCGCTCCCAACAAGAACACCATTGATGGAATTAATTAACAAATATAAATGATAAAAGGATTGCAGGGAATCAATAAATAAGAAACAAATATGCAGGACACAAAGATATTTAACGTGGAAACCAATATGGTGAAAACCACGAGCCTTTTTGGGCTAAGCCAAGCCGAAATCCACTAATTTGTAGGTGTAGTACATGTACACAGGTATGTAGGCCATGACCCTGAAATATATGGAAGAAGAAAGGAGAGTATATGTAGAAGAGAAGTTTAATATTTGAGACTGGCCCCCATTGTCTGTAGCCCGGAGCCTTTATATATACTATTTGTGCAGTTGTAACTTCCCGCAAACTTCCCTCTTTTCTTGCCATGATGACCTCTTCTCTTTGACTAATATATTATTATTATTATTATTATTATTATTATTATTATTATTATTATTATTATTATAAAATAATAATAATAATAATAATAATAATAATAATAATAATAATAATAATAATAATAATAATAATAATAATAATAATAATAATAATATGGCATGCATATTATATTATTCCATCAGTTAGTATGTCGGGCTTTGATAAATGGAGAATGACATGTTACTATGGCTTCCCACAACGACACAGACGTGGGGAGGCATGGGATTTGATAAGATCATTTGCGTCACAATCTGAACTACCATGGGTGATGATTGGTGATTCCAATGATCTGTTATACCAGCGTGAGAAGAGAGGCGGAAACCCGCACCCAGATAGCCTGCTCAGGGGTTTTGGTGATACTATCACACAGTGTGGTTTGTCTCAACTTCCTATGGAAGGCTATCAATTTACATGGGAGAAAGGAAAGGCCACTGTTGACTGGATTGAGGAGAGACTGGACAAAGTATTAGCCACGAGTGAGTGGTGTGGAATTGTGCCTTAGAGACGAGTGGCCAATCTCTTGACAAGAGAGTCCGACCACTCGGCCTTTTTCTTGGGAATCCACGATCCCGGGGGAAGGGAGGGGATGGGGAGGCGGAGGTTCCGTTTTGAGATGGCTTGGCTACATGAGGAGGGTTGTAGGGAGGTGGCGGAGGGGGCTTGGGAGGAGTAGAGGGGTGGAGGTGTGCAGGACAGTATAGAGCATTGTGGGCGACAGCTGTCGCGATGGGGGGGGGGGGGGGGGTGAACGGCACCATAATTATGGTGAGCAGATTTTACAGCTTCGGAAGGAACAGTTACGCCTAAGAGGCCGCATGGATTCGGATTCTCTTGATGAATTCCAGCGCCTTGAGGGGATCCTTAGCCGTGTTGAGAACCAGGAGGATGTCTACTGGAAACAAAGGGCCAAACAACACTGGCTGAAAGAAGCAGATGCAAACACGAAATTCAATCACAGGTATATGCCTCTAACCGAAAGAAAAAGAATACTTTATCTAGAATTCAGAATGATAATGGGGATTGGGTGGAAGGGAGTGCCATGAAAGCAGTTGTCATAGACTATTTTGATAAAAAAAAAATCTTCGGATAATCCTGCTGATTACGGGGGGGGGGGGGGGGGGGGGGGCGGGGGGGGGGGGAGTTTTTTGCTAATATTGCTGGGAAAGTCACCCCGGCTCAGAATGAGTGTTTGCTCCGGCCTTTTGAGAGGGATGAAGTTAAGACTTCTCTATTTGCTATGTTTCCTGATAAGGCACCAGGCCCGGATGGAATGAATCCGGGATTCTATCAGCATTTTTGGGATGTGGTAGGGAGTGATGTGTCGGATTTTATTGTGGAATACTTGAATACACGAACCTTCCCCTCTAAGTTGAATGAAACAAATGTGATCTTAATCCTAAGAAAAACACCCCTGAACGGATGACGGATCTCAGACCAATAGCCTTGAGTAATGTGGTATATAGAGTGATGGCTAAGATGATCACAAATAGAATGAAATCGTTAATGGGAGGTATTATATCTGACTCACATAGTGCATTTATACCGGATAGACTTATTACGGATGATATCCTGGTAGCTGCGGAGGTGGGACACTATTTAAATCGGAAGCAATGTGGGGCGGTTGGTTGGGGGGCCCTAAAACTTGATATGGCCAAGGCATATGACAGGATGGAATGGCTGTTTATAAAAGAAATGCTTTTGGCTCTTGGATTTGATGTGGGGTGGGTAGATCTTATAATGCTTTGTGTGACAACAGTATCCTATACCTTCCTAGTTAATGGATCAGAAAGTCAATCCCTAATACCTACTCGCGGATTACGCCATGGGATCTCTCCTTATTATTGCAACAGGCACAGAATAGGGGTTTAATTCATGGCTGCAGGGTTGCCAAAGGTGCCCCCCGATCTCTCATTTGTTTTTGGCAGATGACAATTTGCTATTCTTCAGAGCTAATGTGCAGGAAGCCAATGAGATTAAGTCCTTCCTGGTGAATTATGAGGTTTTATCTGGACAAGTGGTTATTTACCACAAATCAAACATCTGCTTTAGCAAAAATACTGCTGACAGTGATAGGGGGCAGGTAGCGCAGGCTTTGGGAGTTGTCCAGGCTCCTAATTTTGGAAAGTATTTGGGGCTCCCCTCCTTTGTTGGAAGAAATAAAAAAGTGGCCTTTGCTTATATTGAGGACAAGATCAGACAAAGGATAGGGTCATGGAATAAGAAGCTTCTATCACATGCAGGGAAGGAGATTCTATTGAGTAGTGTGGCTCAGGCCATGCCTACTTTCTAATGGGGGTTTTCTTGCTACCTATATCTGTCTGCACGGCTATTGAACGAACAATGAACCGGTATTGGTGGGGAACAGGCAGAGACATGGGAATCCATTGGAAGGCATGGGATAAGCTCTGTATCCCGAAGAAGTATGAGGGCCTGAGTTTCAAATATTTGAGAGCTTTTAACTTGGCAATGTTAGGAAAGCAAGCATGGCGCTTTCTTACCAACACTGACTCTTTGGTATCTCGTGTGTAAAAAGCCCGATACTATCCAAATAGTAACTTTCCAGAAGCATCTTTAGGGGGGAATCCCAGTTATTGTTCGCAGAGTATTATGGCAGCCAAACAGCTGGTCTGTAATGGGGTCAGGCGACGTATTGGGACTGGGACTACTACACTGATATGGGAGTACCCATGGCTTCAAGATGATACTAACCCAATGATTCATACTGAGATGCCGCCACAGCTGGCTGGATCTAGGGTGGTTGGATTGATAGATCAGGAAACAGGCCAATGGGACCAACAGATCTTAACTGATATTTTCGAGCCGGATGATGTGCCTAGAATTTTGAAAATACCAATTTCACCAGGATACGAGGATACATGGTATTGGCATGGGGACCCAAATGGTGTTTATACGGTCAAAGATGGATACAAATTGATAGTTGGGAATTATAACGCCCCTACTAATGGAAACTTTGATAAATGGCTCAAATTATGGAGCCTGAAAATCCCACCCAAATGGAAGATATTTTTATAGAGAGCTTTGAGTGGTATCCTTCCTACATCCAATAATCTACTTTTAAAGAGGGTAGAAGTTGATCCGATTTGTGCTATGTGTGGTGTTGATCATGAGAGTATAATGCATTCATTGGTATCATGTGACTATGCTAGGTCCATATGGGCACAATCTAGCCTTCCAATCCCCAATATTATAACAGATATTTTCCATGAATGGTTTAGTGCATTGTTAAATGTTCTAGACACTAACGGAATCATGTTCGCAGCTGCTATCCTCTACCAATTATGGAGAGCACGAAATGGAGCGGTTTGGGATGCTTGTCCCCAAAGACCCACGAAGGTCCTTGCTACCGCAACAACCACCATTCAAGCATGGACCCGTGTCCACCGGCCAGCTGCCCTGCCAGCCCGAGCCGAACATCCACCTGCTTCCGCCGATGGCCAAGCTTCCCCTACATTGCTGGCGCACGACCCACAGCATACTACTGCCGTATTGTTGCAACAGTTTCAAGGACTACAGCCGGTCATTTGCTATATCGACGCCGGATATCGGCATCAAACCAACACGGCAGCGGCATGAGCGGTTTTGTTCAATGCCGATGGCGAGTATCTCTCGGCCTTTTGCGCCCCGCTCGTGGCATGTTTCTCCCCCCTGATGGCCGAAGCAATGGCATGCAAAGAGGCGCTTGCATGGCTACGAGATCGTGGCGAACAACTGGTACGGTTATACACGGATTGTCATGCACCACAACGGCACTTAGCTTCATCTATGCCTATGCCCCGGTTGTACGTAGGATACGTTTTACAAGCCTGTAAGGCTCACATGTCAAATTTTGACATTGCTATTATTAGTTTTGTTTCTAGATCTTAGAACTATTTAGCTCATAGTTTAGCTTCTACTGCTTTTGATTATGCTACGGCTATGTATTGGGACATCGTCCCCCGGACTCCATTTCAGCATATCTATAATATAACCACATTGGTTGCTTTAAATAAAAAGATATACACCGAAAAAGTGCTATGTTAATCCATATGGTCAATACAAAATAAAAATTTTTATAATTATTTTTTATCAACCACCAAGATACAATAGAAAAAGAAAACTTAATTGTAAAGAACCCTCGAGAGATCGAATAGAATACTATGTAACTCCATAAGATGAAGGATATTCAAATGCCTTGTACCTCGAACCTAGTGAAGTGACATGTTAGCAAGCTAAGACATGTCTTATTTTTGTTCTACTTTTATTCTTACATCATGGAAACTATTGACCAGAAAAGCTTATCATCACTACTTGAGGGTGTGCAATCCTGTGAAATAATCACTGGACAGCAGAACAATCCACATCACGACTGATGGTGAACGGAATGGTGGCATCACACTTGTCGGGAATGCTAGCGGCGCGGGCGAGTTGCGCGTCGTTGACGGAGGAGGCAAGGGACTTCAAACAGGAGCAGACGGTCTGGCGATCTGTCTGGGTGGAGGCGGCGCTCAGCAGCGATTTCAGGCCGTTGCAGCAGTCGGACGACGGCCCAATGCCGATGAGCACATAGGAACCACATGGGCCCAGGTCGGTGTTCACAGTGTCACACGTGACCTGCGCCTCCACACCGTACGGCGCGGTTGCTCCGGCGACGAGGAGGAGGGCGAACACGGTTAGGTACAGTTTTGCAGATACAGCCATGGCGGTGTATGTGTATTGTAGGTATTGTTGTTCAGTGAAGCTACCAATTTATAATACTTCACCATTCTGTCCGCATGTGCACTTATACCTGTCACCACCCTCCATAGCGGTTCAGAATTGAATCAAATATTATTATTTCTTCTGTTTAGTCGTGTTAACGTGTTGTATATGTTAAAAGGCAGTTTTTTTTTTTTTTTTTTTTAAGGGGGCTTTGATTCTTGAAATGTTGTTCTGGCAATGCACATTACACATGTGTATATATATATTATAAAAGCTGTACATATAAAATGCAGAGAGTCAACGTCAAGATTCTATTGTATCGGTTGACGTAACTCGTAAGGCTAGCTAGATGCAAACCATAAAAAACTAATCAATAATAGTTAGAATTTATTAGTTTATCCTAAGAGCATCTTCGCCAAAAAACAACAAATCAAATTAAGATTTATAGTTCCAAATTAAAAATAATTGAAAACTACAATATAATGGATTTGTTACTCCATGCGTTGTAAATTAGCAGCAAGTGATTTAAGTCTTGACTCCTTCATCGCGTTTGCATAAACAATACCTAGTTATGGGGATGGGGGAGCATGCACATGCAAGAAAGCAACGAATATTATTCACAATAATATAATGTGCAATATAATTAACAATTTTGGCATAATGCCAACATAATTTTTAATGAGAAAAGTTTGCAAACAGCATAGCAAGGATGTAATACCACTGTTTTTCATAAGTGCAGAATAATCATTCTTAGTATCAGGAGAAAGGAGAAAACATTGCAATTAACTCTTTCAACTGCAGAATGATTATGTGCTTGTGAGGTGCTTATATTATGATCCATAAGACGAAAAGGAGTAATTCCTCAAAAGAATTGCAAAATACACATCTAATGGCATAGAACTTTCATTAATCATCAACATATAAGTCGTTTTGCCACCAGGAGCAGCACTGCACTGCATACAAAATATTACTCCCTCCGTTCCTAATTGATTATCTCATTTGCTTTTTGCACGGTTTTTAATACAACATAACAAATGTTACTAACTTTTCAATTTTGCCCCTCAAAGTAGGTGTTATTTGTACAAAGTACAATTGTACTTACCTCTAGAAATTTGAAAAGTCAAAAGGGTAAATTGAGAAATGTAGAGTGATAGTTATGTTCAATTTTAGAATGATGACATTATTTTGAGACAAACTAAAAATGAAATTAAGACATGTAAAATGGGACGGATGGAGGATGTTAGAATCAGATGCAAGAACACTAAACAAGGTAATGGATTTATAACCCTAACTGTCTAATGGCGCTATTGAGTGGGAGCCCCAAGGTGTCTTGATGGGGAGATCAAACAACAATCCTTCAGCAAATTCACTGCAAAACAGAGCTAAGTAATTGAAGATATCTTTATGTGCATTCACTACAAGAAAAATAATTTTTAGTGACAAAAAATTAGTGACGGGTAGAAAAACCCTCACTAAATATGTTATTTACATATTTTTTGTGAGGGTTAAAAATTACTCTAGCTAAAGGTTTTTGATTTAGCGACGAAATTTTAATTTTATATTTAATTTAAAATTATACTCTTGTTATTGGTATGACAAATTTTGTTACTCTCGTGATGCCGGAAAATTATTTTAGTAAAAAATAGTTCTCACCAAAACATTTTTTATTGGCACCCTGCATCTCTTCCCTCAAAAATCTAATTATTTTACTAAAATTTAATTTAATTTACAGCCACGCACATACCTCCTGGCTTCTTCCAGTTCTAGCTCCTCTTTCCACCAGCACTCACCGTCTCTGTACAATATCTCTCCATCTCTCTCTTCTCTCCACTCTCTACTTCCTTGCACTTCACCATAAGTCATTGTGGGTTTTCTCAGGTATCATCACCAAATAGTCACAAGGTAATTTCTTTGTTTTCTCTTCTTCTTCTTCTTCTTCTTTTTTTTTTCCTAGTATTTCTCTATTATCTTGATGTTAGGGCTCAAAAAGCCTCTCTGCTTAAACCCATACTGGACTGGCTATAGGTTGACGCTAAGAGAGATCTTTTCTTCAGAATTCGAACTAGATTGTAGGTTCGGAACAAAATTAATGTGCAAGGCTCGCTACGTTCCTTGGCAGTTTACCTTTCATTTTATCGCTATTTATGCGAAACACACTAGAGCAGACAGAGCCCAGTTATGGACACAACTTTCAGATTGTATAGATGATAATAGACCACTACTTCTGGCAGGAGACTTTAATGTAATTTCAAGCATCTTAGAGTATAGAGGCAATGCTCTTCCGGATGTCAATTGTATTTCTGATTTTTCCAACTTCATTACCGATAATTCGCTTATTGATCTGGCTACGATAGGCAGCTTATACACATGGCATGGCATCCGTAATACAGGAGCTGTCTGGAAACGGCTGGATCGTTTCTTGATGAATCCACCTCTAAGAGATTACTTTACGGAGGTTCGAATAAATGTCTTAGCCAGGACGTCTTCAGATCATTCCCCGATCCTCCTAAGCGGGACTAATAACACTTTGTCATGCCCAAAACAGTTCCGTTTTCAAACAATGTGGACTTCCCATCCAGATTTCATCAATGTTGTTAGACTAAATTGGAACCAGCAGGCTGATGGAGGAGGAATGCGGGCACTGGCTTTTAAAATAAAGCGCCTCAAACATTTCCTCCGAATTTGGAATAGAGATACTTTCGGGAACGTATTTGATCGTATTCGAGTCCTGGAATCTAGTGTGGCAGAAGCAGAGAACACCTTTGATGATGATCCTTCACCAGGTAGTCGGGAATCACTTCATAAACTCCAGGCTGATCTCCTACAAGCTCTCAAACAGGAGGAAATGTTTTGGAAGCAAAAGGCTAGAGTGAAATGGCTAAAAGAGGGAGATTCCAACACCCGATTTTTTCATGCTGTGGTTAAGGGCAGGCATCGGAGACAGAGAATAAGTGCTATCAAATCAGGTACAGGGGAGCTGCTCACAACTCAACCGGCTATTCAGACGGAAGCGGTATCCTTCTTTTCTGATTTATTCTCAGCAGAGGACTACCCAGGAATGAAGGCTTTACTTCAGTGCCTACCGGTGGGCGTGGTCGACTCAGATAAAGCCGCCTTATCTCTGCCCATCACGAGAGAAGAGGTTAAAGAGGCAGTTTGGAAACTAGATCAGGACAGTGCAGCTGGCCCAGATGGTTTTTCGGGCGCCTTCTTCCGTCATTGCTGGGACATTATTAAAGATGATCTTTACATGGCAGCCTTAGACTTCTTTGCCGGTGTACCTGTTCCCCGAGCTATGGCAAGCGCTCAAATAGTGTTGATTCCCAAAAAATTGAACCCGGACACATTCGCGGATTACAGACCAATATGCCTTTGCACTTATGTCAGCAAGGTCTTTACAAGAATAATAGCCTCTCGGCTAAGTACAATCCTACCCAAAATCATCTCAAGGTAGCAAGCTGGTTTTGTTGAAGGCAGAAACATTCAAGATAACGTTTTATTGGCTTTTGAACTACTACAACATATAAATAAACGGTGTCGGGGTGCGAACGTTGTTGTTAAGCTAGACATGATGAAGGCATTTGATCGAGTCGCCTGGCCCTTCCTCCGAGCGGTTCTGGATAGATTGGGTTTCCCGGTGTCTTTCATCAACTTAATTATGAACAACCTGGAGGCGACGAGACTCTCTGTTCTGATTAACGGAGTAAGCTGTGGCTTTTTCCAACCGACGAGGGGGGTCAAGCAAGGGGATCCTCTCTCGCCCCTCCTCTTCATTCTTGCCTCGGAAGCTCTCTCTCGCTCTCTCATCTTAAAAATGGGTACGGGAGGTTTGTCTCCTTACTCGTCGAGGATAAATTGCCCTGTTGTTACTCACTTGGCATTCGCAGACGACATAGTCATTTTTGTCAATGGCTCGTCTGGTTCCCTAAAAGCTTTGTCGGAGGTTCTGCAGCTCTATCAGGACGGTTCCGGACAAAAAATTAATTATAGCAAGAGTTTCTTCGTCACCTCAAAACATTGCCCAAGCGGCAGGGTTGCGGCTATGTCCCGAATACTGGCAATGCAATGCACCACTTTACCATTCCGTTATCTGGGGGTCAACATGTTCACGGGCAGAAATAGAACACACTATTATCAGCATCTTCTGGAGAAGATTGACAATAAATTACTCGGTTGGCAGAGAAAACTGCTATCCCAAGGAGGCAGATTAACACTCATTAAACATGTTCTAACAATGATTCCAATGTATACAATGGCGTCTGTGACACTGCCTAGGCAGGATGTGAGATCTCTGGAGGCAAAGTTAGCCAATTTCTTCTGGGGCAGTTTCGAGGGGAAGCCCAAACGACACTGGGTGAAATGGAAGGGCGTTGGCCTACCCACAAATGAGGGCGGTTTGGGGGTTCGCTGTCTTTCGTCGATTCAAGAGTCTGGCTCGGCAAAGCTCTACTTCAACTTTTTAAAGGGAGGCACCCTGTGGAGCTCATTCATGCATGCTAAATACCATGAAGTTGCATCGGACCGGACGGGCTCTCTCACATGGAGGAGAATGCAGCTTGTTAGAGATTTTGTTGAAGACAATGTGTCCACCACATCAGGAGGTTTAGTGTGGACTCCATCAGTGTATGGGAATTTCACATTTTCTTCTGCCTATGAATCCCTAAGGCCGAAGGCAGGACACAGCCTTTCATCATCAAGTGTGTGGAACATTTTAATCCCAACAAAGGTATCTGTGTTCATGTGGAGGATGTTAAGGAGATGGCTGCCGTTTCCAGATGTTTTGCAGCCCTTTGGGTTCTGTCTGCCCTCGATCTGCCCACTGTGTCGGAATGCAAGTGCGACCCTCGACCATTGCCTCCATCAATGCTGCTGCGCACAGGAGGTTTGGCGACATTTTAATGGGATTTTTGGCTTAAGCATGCACAGGGATATCTCGGCTAGAGCGGTTTGCCAAGCTTGGTGGATTCTGGCCTCTCCCTCGCAGAGTGGTTATATATCATTAA